GGGACCACAGAAGCCCACCACAACGCCCGGCTATTTTTTGGTTGCAGCCGTCATTGTTGTTTTGGCGGGTCCAGGCTAGGGATTCGAACCCGCCACCTTAGGTGTACGTGGCTGGCGCCTTAGCCGGTTGAGCTATAGGCGCCGAGCCTAGAAATAGAATTTCTATAGAAATATATAGAAATATATTAACAAAATAAGAAACATTCAGGCCAGCGCCTGTGGCTCAGTGAGTAGGGTGCCAGTCCCATATACCAAGGGTGGCAGGTTCAAACCCAGCCCCAGCCAAACTGCAACAAAAAATAGCCAGATGTTGTGGCGGGTGCCTATAGTACCAGCTACTGGGGAGGCTGAGGCAAGAGAATCACCCAAGCCCAAGAGGTGGAGGTTGCTGTGAGCTGCAACGCCACGGCATCCTACTGAGGGGGACAAAATGAAACTCTGTCTCTAAAAAATAATAATAATAAAATAAGAAAACATTCAAATAGCTATACAAACAATCAGAAAGTTATCTATACAAAAGAATTCAAAACAGAAACTCAAAGAGAATTCATATATCTATGTTCATTACGCATTATTCACAATAGCCAAAAGGTGGAAACAAACTAAGCATCCTTTTTCTGTGTGTAGAGACAAGAGTTTCATTCTGTCACCTTTAGTAGAGTGCTCTGGCATCAAAGCTCACAGCAACCTCCAGCTCTTGGGCTTAGGTGATTCTCCTGCCTCAGCCTCCCAAGTAGCCGGGACTATAGGCACCCACAACACCTGCCTAGATTTTTTTTTTTTTTTGAGACAGAGTCTCACTTTGTCACCCTCAGTAGAGTGCTGTGTCTTCACAGGTCACAACAACCTCAAACTCTTAGGCTTAAGCAATTCTCTTGCCTCAGCCTCTCAAGTAGCTGAGATGAGACTACAGCTATTTGTTGTTATTGTTGTCATTGTTGTTTATCAGGCTTGGGTCAGGTTCCAACCCACCAGCCCCGGTATATGCGGCCAGCACCCTTGCTTCTGAACTACAGGTGCCAAGCCTGTCCATCCTTTAAAAAGAAGGAAATTCTTCTGGGAGGCCGAGGTGGGTGGATTGCTTGAGCTCAGGAGTTCAAGATCACCCTGAGCAAGAGCAAGCCCCTGTATCTAAGGCTGGGCGTGGTGGTTAACACCTGTAATCCTACCACTCTGGGAGGCCAAGTCCTAGCTGTAGGAGTTCAAGATCAGCCTGAGCAAGAGCAACACCCCATCTCCAAAAAAAAAAAAAAAAAAAGCTGAGTGTTGTGGTGGGTGCCTGTGTTCCTAGCTGCTCAGGAGGCTGAAGCAGGAGGATCACTTGAGCCCAAGAGTTTGAGGTTGCTGTGAGCAATCATGCCATGTCACTCGACTGAGGGCAACAAAGTGAGACTTTGGCTCAAAGACAAAAAAGACCTCATCTCTACTAAAAGTAGAAAAATTAACTGGGCATTGTAGTGGATATCTCAAGCCCAAGAGTTTGAGGTCACCATGAGCTGTGATGATACCATATCACTTTACCCCATGTGACAGAGTGAGACTGCTCTAAAAGAAAACAAAAAGCTTTCTAAAGGCCCCATAGCTAGGGGACTACACTGGACCTGGACCCTAAAAAGAGCTATCCTCAATTGCAGGGTGATCACTAACTGTTGGAAACAGGGTGTTAGTTAAGTTACAATGAAGTCATCCTGGTATCCTTATTTGAGGAGACAGACACCAAAAACACAAATAAAATGGCCATGTGATGACAAAGGCAGAGATTGTGGGGTGATATAGCTGCAAGTCAAGGAATGCCAGGGACTGCAGGCAACCACAAGAAGCTGGAGAGAGAGCTGGAAAGATGCTCTCATGAGTCTTTTTTTTTTTTTTTTTTTTT